AGGATATATTATTTAAAAAAAGGGGAAAGGGGGGGGGGAAAGCAAGCATCAAGCAGTATGTAATTCCATCATGCACTAATGCAAAATGACCTATCCAGATGTAGTATGAAGGTTTATACAATCCTAATGTCCATGCGAAAAAGATGAAGGTGCAGCAATGTACAAAGCAAAACATGCTAGTTATCAAGACGCTCGAGACCTTCTACAAAGTTGGTGTCGATAAATAGCCCGAGAGGTAAACCGTTCCAGTCACTAATAGTGCGAGGGAAAAAGCTAAACTTAAACATATTAGTACGCGCAAAAATGGGTGTTAGTGAAAACTGATGTCTGTGCCGCGTAGCTCTTGACGCTAAAGGGGAAATATATTGCAATGGGTCTATGCGAGTCTGTCCTTGCTGAAGATGAAACAAGAATTTCAACCGCGCTAGTTTCCTTCTTGCCTGAAGAGTCTGTATTCCGTTAGCCTGCATAAGTTGAAATGGTGAATCCAGCCTTCTATACTTTCCGTAAATAAACCGAACCGCTCGACGTTGCACCATCTCCAACTTCCGAATATCTTTCTGAGTGAATGGATCCCAAACTATGTTTGCATACTCCAACTTGGATCTGAGTAATGAATAATACGCATGTAGCTTAACCTGAATCGGAGCGTCGTTCAATTTTTACCTGGATGTGTCAAGAACGGCTTGAGCTTATGCGAAAGGGGAGCGAGGGAATGGTGTTCGGAAAAGGTTTCATGGGCCTTCTCTCGTGTTACCTATGTTTTCCTCTTTAACCTCCCTCATATTTTTTTTACAGGTTGAAAGTGCAGGCGTTTTTCTTCGCCCTTGACTGGAGGAACAAAGTACTAGCTCTTGATTGTTGATCAACGACATAGGCTGCTGTCCTCGAGCCGATGTTTCTCCTGAGCGTGCACGTTTGTCGTTTACTCGTCTACTGAACAAGTCTGGCTGCCTGATTAAGTTATGATTCGGTTGTCATGGATATGCAATGCCGAACTACGTGCCAAGTCCCCCAAACCACGGCAAGACGTATTACGTGCTTCTTGCCGTAGCGCGACATCGTTGCAGGAACTACGATTACCGTTTTTCTGCTCCAGACGCTGCCATGCGCCGCCTTGTTAGCGGCGCGGTCAACACGCCCTCCTGGATGCTCGCTTACCGTCGACAACGCCCCTTCTATACTGGAACCGGTTACCTTCTGCCTGATGGATACGGCGGACTCCCCTACATGACATCACGTCAGAAGTAGACCCCAGCAGCTGCTTCGTCTGGCAACACGGAACGATGTGCGACGCATGTCTTCAAAAGCGCTCAACGCAGCCCAGCCAGTCGGTGCACAACATCATTGCGGAAGCTACGATGACTCTATTTCTAGTAGAGGGCACTTACTTGAAATATGTAAAATTTTCTCGCGGTAACGACCTTGCCCGTTGACGATGTCGAGCCCCAGCGACTTGTTTCATTGGTGTGAGCTAAAGTTGTTGTGTCGGGGTCTAAAATATAGTTACGTAGCTTTTTTTAGTACGGCTTCTAATCACATCGGGTGATGTAGAACTAAAGCACGGCACCGATGAAGCCGCCACGCTATAGAGTCAATTCTAGCAGCCGTGCACCGTATAGAAGCTGGACAGTCCGTAATGGTGGCATCTATCACGGCGATTCAAAACAAGCAAAGAACAATCGATGCACTGGTCAATGAGCTCTTGGCAAGAGACGCTACGGTCGAACGTGGTCTCGCGGCTGTCTCGCTAAGAGCTACCCAGAACTTGTTCACTGATAATCACAATGCGCAAGGCATTATTGAATTCTTGGAAATCGAAGCAAAATGTGACGAAGGCTTCGGCGATCAAATCGCTTGTTTCTTGGCATCCCAGATCCGCAGTCTGAATCTTGGCTTCAATCAGAAGAAGAGGTTTTCGAGTTCTGTAGGGAGAAGCAGCAGAAGCTTGAACTGGCTCTGGATGCCTACAATCTTGAACGCTCTCATTGTTTGGGTCGTTTTTGCCCTGATAAAAACCGACCGAGTATTGACAAGTTTCTTCGATAAAACTGCAGTCTTGTGGTCGGGATCTAAACTAAAAGGTTCCCATTTTGCTGTTCAAGAAGACCTTTCGCCCTTGGCCCGTTTGACTCGGAACAAGCAGTTTTAATTTGCAAAACCGCAAAATGCCCCTTTCCAGACTCACTTCGATAAGCTCCGCATGCTAGACAAATGCTTTGTATATTATGCTGCTTCAGACACTGTAAAAGAATCCCCTGCATAGCTGCATTTAGTAATAAGCCGCTCCTTTAATATTTAATGTTCAACGACGCGCACAAAAACGAAAGAGTTCTTCATATCTCGTATTAAGGCGAAAGCCTTAAGGCTCGTTCACACACTTGCAACCGAGTAGCATTGGCTGAGACGAGACCGGTCACAAGAGGCTTAAAGGCCGGTCTTGTCTCACTCGTGAAAACAGCGCAAAACATTGAACAAAGGACAAGTGAAAGGAGTGCACGGACAAAGCGCTGACGTTTGACGATGTTAAACCAAGTAGCCCAACTTACCGCCTTCTTGTCTCACTCGGTCGTACTCGGTTGCAAGTGCGTGAACGGGCCTTTAAGCACCGGTTACACACTTGCAACCGAGAAGGACGGAAACAAGCCCCGTAGGCAAGTAATTTCTGGTACGTCTGCAAGAACTGAAGGAGACCGAGTGGAAAACCGTAATGGAGGATTTTTTCGGCGTGGTGTTCCCGCTACAGGCTGCAAGAAATGACTCAAAAGTTGCCCCTGGGAAGTAGCACAAATCGCATGCGACATGTCTGCATAAAAAAGCATCAGGACTAAGAAAGACCAGCCACTGGCCAAGCCAGCAGCGGGGGGACCACCTAGAGAAGAAGCACGCCGGGAAGCTAGATATCTACACGGACTGGTCAGTTTAAACAAGTCGAGAACCTCAAACACGGCGGGTTTCTACATCAATAGAGCGTACGTCAAAGAGTGGAGCATGAAACTCCAGAATGCAGCGTCCTTTACGACAGCGAAGCGAGCCGCCATCGACAGAGCCCTGCACGCGGCTTCAAGGCTGCCACTACACACTAAAAAAAATCAGTTCGAAAAATAACTTTTTGGAGTTCTTCGGCTTGTCCATATTTTGCACCCTAAAAGGTTCTTTTAAGCACCTTATAAAAAAGTTCTTCACGAAGAACCTTTAAGGAGTTCTTTTAAGTTCTCTTTCAATGAAACAGTTCTTCGTGAGGAACTTTTAAAAAGTTCTTTTCAGCCCTTCTCTCGCTAAAACAGTTCTTGGTGAAGAACCGTTTAACAGTTCTTTTTAGTTCTCTTTTCAATGGAACAGTTCTTCGCGAAAAACGTTTAAAAAGTTCTTTCCAGCCCTTCTGTCGCTGAAACAGTTCTTTTTAGTTCTCTATCGGATGAAACGATTTTTCGTCAAGTACCTTTAGAAGGTTCTTATAAGCTCTTTTTTAATTAACCAGTTAATAATATGAAGAACCTTTATTGAGTTATTTTAGGGTCTAAGGAAATAAGTTCTAAATAACCTTTCAAGGGAACTTTTTTGTTGGGTGTGCGAATACCCCTTCGGTTCAAAAATAAGAGCGATATTTCTAGGTTCAACACTGCAATGAAAGTCATTGTGTACAGTGGACTTCTTGAATCTAGAAATATCGCTGCGCTATTTGAACCGAGGGGTATTCGCACACCCCAATAGTAAAGTTCCCTTGAAAGGTTATTTAGAACTGTTATTTCCTTAGATCCTAAAAAAACTCAATAAAGATTTTCATGATTTACTGGTCAATTGAAACAGCTTATAACAAGCTTGCAAAGGTATTCGATGAAAAACCGTTCCATCCCAGAGAGAACTAAAAAGAAACTACAAAGGATTTCATTTCAACCACTACTTGCTCACCCCTAACTTTTAAGTTACTTTTCACCGAAAGAGCTTTCTATTATGAACCTTTTCAATGAAAGGTTTGTTGCAAAGACCACTTACGAGTTGACTTGAATAACTTATTCGCAAAAAGCGACTTGGGCAGCAATTTTAGGTGTACAGTAGCTCCTTTGTAAACCGCTCTTTATCGACTGTCTCGAACTGTTCAAAGAGGCAATATACATCACCTAGACGTTTTGTAAACGTCAACAGACGTGCAAAACAGGCTTTGAACGACAAGGCTCCTTTTCTGGGGCACTACATCTACTGCAGAATCACTGGCTTGGATGGGTATTCAAGTACACATTCATCGTTGGTACTCTTATCTAGACCAAGTATGAGGTATAGGGAATAGAGGTAGGAGAAACAAGAGATGCTCTGCAATGTCCAACTTGTCAACGGTGAAATGAAGGCAGGATACCGCAGTTCACAAAAAAAACATACGGACGTTTATTGAACATGACTAGATTCAAACTTAGCACATGAGTAGAAGGCTTCTCTGCCTAAAATATAGATCAAATAAAACACGGCCTAGCGGAACACTGAAATGAGACGCTGAAATTTTAACCTTGAGAAAATTTAGACAACGTTCTAGATGTCTGATTTCATATGTGGCACATTATCGAGCTCAGATCTATTATTTGACCACTAACAAAAGAAAACAAAAACTGACTTGGAAAAACTTCAAAACCCTTTCTTGTTGAGGTATACTTTATGGATAAAAATGCTATCTTGGAGACGAGATGGACAAGGCAACCACTCAGGTGTGGAAGCAAGAAAAATGGAATTGCGGCAAAACAAGACTTCTGGCCCCTTCTTTCTCATGATGCCCCTCTCCAACCACACACTGCGAGGGCGCATGGCACAAACAGGTGTTAAACCCAGACAAAGAGCACAACTGCACTGCAAGTGGGCAGCTGCAAACCAGGCTGTTAGCTGAATTTAGACAGTGCCTAAGTCTCTTAGTGTACCCTTTTAGGTTTGAAGTAACTCAAAACCAGACAAAACTGATCCACCATTCAGGCTGTCAATTGCTTTGAAAGTATAGTGGAAAAGGCGCTAAAATTACCACTTCGGGAATGCAGAGGGCCGGGTACAGCTAAATAACATCAGTGGTGGTCTTGCCAGCGATGTCTACCCTCCTTGCCTGTGACGTCTCTGCTATTATTTGAAGTAAGAGCTTCACATCTGTTGCAGCCTTGGAGCATTCAGCAGCCATAATCTCTACGTGGTCTGCACAGTTGTCGGTACCTTCTACGTCATGATGTGGAACCTGAAAAAAAAAGTCAGCGCCATGCAGACAATATGAGATTTGAAGAACAAAGTTGTGTACCAGACGAACTCCAGCAAGCCTTATTTTATGTTATGTAAAAAATTGTAATTTAAACAGTGGGTGCACGGGTCCAAATAGATCAAGTTATATGTGCTCTATATTTTAGCTATAATAAGGCAGTTCAATGCAGCAAAAGAGATTTAACCGAGAGACAACCAGAGAATATTTGATATATCTGACAAGCCATGCAACTTTGACTTTTACAGATTACATTTACAGCAATATGATTCGTTCAAGTCACTTTGGAGCACCTGTTGCAGTAGTCAGAAGTCCATTTAGGAGTAGCCAAAAGTACGTTTAGGAGAAGCTAAAAGATGTATTGGCATATAAGCAAAAACTTCGTCTTTATTCTTACCACTGTGAATATTATCATACGGTTAATGTGTTCGCATCCTCAACTAAAACACTATCTACTTTGCCCTCCCACTCCTGTGCAACCTTTTCTTAACATCAATTGCTTGACAAGTTTGATTCTCTCGAACAAAGCACTATCTGCTTAGTTGCACATAGAAGCACCAGACATGGCAACAACAGTCTGAGTGATGATGGATAGTATGAACTGCTGTGAATGGTGGTTTTAGGTACGGAATCAAAAGTAAAGCAAACAGTACGTACCACTAAAATAAAATATTATAAAAATAGAAACATTTTGAGTACTCAAAGTGATGTTTTGTTACAGTTCTAAAGGTTATAATAAAGCAAAGATTTCGTCATTTGATTGTGAATATCAATGTCGTATATTTAAGACCTCATAACAAGAATCTGCATGCGAACAATAAATATGCCTTTTAAAAACAATCAAGCAGAATTTGGTAAGGTCATTCCCAAGCTTCTAACCATTCCTCTGGACGGGCAACTGAAAACTGTATAAAGATTCCTCTCATTTTGGCAAAATGTAACAGGCTAAGCACTTTGAAGCATATGGTGCAGCAATTACATAACTACATTTAGCTGAATAACTATTTAAGAACAGTTCCCGCCTCCAGGTTAGTTTTATTTTTTTTAACTGTATCAGAACCAGGTTGTAACAAACTTACCATGGTCCTTTTGTATTTTTGAATACAGTCACTCCGTTGGCGTTTTTCCTTTCGCTTTCGCCCACCACCTTTGCCATAGTTTTCCTTGTTTTGCTGAACTTCTGGCAGATGCATAAGAAGCAACCTTTCTATTTTTATTTTGTTAATAAGGCTGTGTCGCCGTGACTCCTACAGTGAGACTGATGAGTAGCAAGCCTGTTACAATGCAGATAATGAACTTCGATACAAGCATTTCAATTGTCAGAATGAAAACAAGTTCTTGTAAATCTTACGCAGCGTCCAGTGGAGTCGGCCAGGAAGGGGTATGCCGCTTGGAGGGCACGCATGACATCATCTAGCTAAGACCGACTTGGCGTTCTGGAAAGAAAAAACAACAAATGTTAGCCTCTGTTTTAAGATATATAAGTGAGGACTTCAAATGCTGCTGCTTTCGGAGTTTAGCTCAAAATGTCGTCTGCCAACGCAGCGACCAACTTTGTTCGTGCTTCATTTCGCTGTGGTTGAAGGAAAAGTTTACTCTTTTCACACAGCCTCTGTAACAGTAGCGAGGGAAATTATGGGAGAGTATATCTCTGTGGCCATACATTCCTTACAACCTCTGTAGACCTAACTGAGGCTGCTGTGTTACTAGCACGAGGCACATTGGAGGGTCCAGGCAAGCTGAAAGATAACAATGTAATTAGTGCATCTCGAATTTCACAAATGGAACGCAAATTTCCAATTGGGTAATGTGCCCCACCTTTCTTTTATGTCTTCTTTTAGCTGTTCAATCAGTTTTAGCAGTTTGACTCGCAGTTTCATAGCAGGGAGCAACTGCTCAATCCTCCACACTGACAAGTTTAGTAACGTCTTCCCATCAACTTCTTCTGCATAAAAGGAGATAAAATATTGCACATACAGTTTATATCATATATATATGTTATATATGTTAATGACAGAAGTTATACCACATTTTTTTACCCTTTTATTCTGATGGTGTACACAAATATAGTATAAAAAGAGTGAAGATGGGGGGAGGGGGAAAACCATAAAGCAGTGGCATGCATCACCCCCACACTGCTTCCATTATCTGGTTCCCCAGATCCTCCCTCGACATCTTTACGTTTCATGTGCTTCCTGAAGCTCTCAAATGCAATAAAATAGCGTCCAGACGGAGAGCACTTACCCAACTTGCAAACAGAATTAAAGTTCGGGTCACCTTGAGCTATCTGGAGATGATTTGTCAGATGACTCCCGATGTGCATGGTAGCACTGCGAAAACTTTGAACACTCGTATCCGCTCATGCTGAAATCGCACAAACGACGACAAATCTCACCAATCGCCGAAAGACCCGGAAGCACTTCCTCGCTCACAAAACATGTCCAAATATCCACACTGCACTACAAGTTTCATAAAAAAATATTCGCATGCACATGGAAGTATGGAAGGATAGCGCCATTGAGACCCCGATCAGCCACCGTTACCGGCACTCAACTTGGAAACTGAAAACGCGAGACGAAACCGACGCCGCCAACCAATACAAACAAAGAGGACGGAGCATTCTGCTTACCTTCGAATCTCTGGGCGAAGTCTCCAAGGTTTTGCTTTGTCAACCAATCTGACACGTGCTGGAGCTTCCATCTAGACACATTTGTACGTTCTCGCACCGTGACCCCATCCATTGAATGCCGCCGACAGAACCAGGTCGAAACAGTAAACAGCGAACCCCGAATTGTTGGCCGCAGTTACTTTCGCCTTTACAGAATCTCACGCAGGCAAACGGCGCGGCGGAGCGGCACCACCGGCACTTTTTCGCGCGCAACCGCTTCTTCGAAAACAAAATAACAAAAAAAAAAAAAAAAAACGTAATGAAGAACTTTTTTTCAGGCAAACGTTCTTCATCGCCCGGTCGCCTTTCTGGTGCGCCAGGGGGCGACACTGTTTGAGCGAAAACAGTTCTTCACGAGGAAAAAGAGTTCTTGGGGCGGCGAAGAACCTTTCAAGAACGGATTTTTTTTAGAGTGTACAGCAGATCATCTGCTGTAGTGACACCAGATTGCGCGCGCTTGAAAATGCATAAAAAAACGATTGGGCGGAAAAATGGCTGAGGTGTCACCACTCAAGCAAAAGCGCGCGTGTGTATACGAAGGCACTCTATCTATGTTTCAAAGGTAGTGCAAGGTGCGTCGATGCACCAGGCACGTGCAACGTGCAGCTTTTGGGAAGATCATGGCGGCACAGCGCAGCACTGAGCTAGATTTCAGACGCCATGTTCTTCCCAGAAGTGGCGCGCGGCACGTGTCTCAAGCAGTTCCACAACAATGAATGGCGCTACCTTTCCCATCTTGCTCAAGGTTGATACGCCACGTGCCGTGAGAATCGGGAACTAAAACAGAGTGTTCCAGAAAGCTGGCCATGGGTCGTCCTCAGAGACTACAGTTGCCCCCTGCCGAGGTTGGCCAACATAAATTACAGCGACACACAAACAAGTTCTTCAAGAAATGTGCTCGGCGCCCTAAAGACAAAAAGCACAACGGCATGCTTTCAGTAAGTCCCGGTGCATGTCCGAGTCGAGGGAAACGAAAAAGCGGACAACCTCGCAGCGACGGCCCATCAACCACCTCTATTTGTTATCACTGCAAAAAAAAAAAAAAAAATACAGAGCCGTTTAGTTTGAAGGGAGCACTTCTATTCGCGTCTCCAGTTCGTTGCTCGCCCTCTCGCGGTGGAGACGGGAACCGCTGTAGTAAGGGGTCCCCCGGTTCTCCTGCTCAGCGGGCACGGCGGACCTGCTCGCGATCATGGCTCGGGAAATGACATTTCAGAATGCAAACAACACTCTTCACGGTCCCAATGTATGGTGCTTACTATCTAGAGAGTTTTAGTATTGCATATAAAAGCAAACGCAAGCGCTGTGGTTTGCGTTAGAGTTGCGTGCTCCCCGCTGCGCATGTGCGCCGTCACCATGCGCCAATCAAAGACCGCAATTTTGGGCTACGCTCACAGGCAGTTGAAACATGCAACGTTAACGCAAACACTTTGTGCTGGCGTTCGCTTTTATACGCAATACTAAAACTCTCTACTGTTTCATTAAATTCCAACGCCAACGAAACACGTTACAGTGAGCAGACGTGCAAGCGGTTAGACGTTCCTTCAAACTGAAAAGGCTGAGAATGGAAAAATGACGGCGCGAAAAAAGTAAAGCAAATAGATGTACTGAGAAGCTTTGCAATTAAAAAATAAACAAACGGAATCCCCTTTTTTGCATTTCTGGGCGTTTGGTCCAGAAGGATTAGCTGTGAATTTGGAAATTTTGACGATTGTCAAAAGTCGCGACTTTGATAGCAACATATGCTTTCATTACAATAGACCGATCTCACCAGCCAGTTTGACTACGCCGCCACCACTGCCGCAATGCATCGAGGGAACTTTAGTCTTTCTGCGCGTGCGGCAACCTCGCTGGAACTCTGCGCGTGCAGGGCACGAACAGTCTCGTGCACCGCCGAATGCCTCCTGTGAACTAAAGTTATGGCTGCCTTTTAACTCAGCAAAATGTTAACTTGTTTCGTTCACCCGTAAACGCACAAATTCAGACTTCGCATATTCACCCAACAATTTGCCCATCATCGTTGTTTCTGCTTATCAGTACCTCGGTGTCGAACTGACTTCTAATCTTTCTTGGGTTTCCCACATTAACACGATAACCGCTAAAGCATCCCGTACCATCGGTTACTTGAAACGCGCGCAGTCTGAAATCTGCGGCCTCTCACCTCCGCAAATTATCCTATGAAACCTACGTTCGCCCGAAATTAGATTACGCCTCCACTATCTGGGCCCCTCATAAAAACTACCTGATTAATCAAATCGCATCCATTCAAAACCGAGGTGCCCACTTTATTTCTTCACCATATTCGCGTTTCGACGGCGTGTCACTAATAAAGCAAAATTATTCTATATGTCTACCGGAAACTCAACGTAACGTCTCTCCCATGCTTAATTCATTGATTATGCCACAGCCTAAGGGGGGACTTGGTTCTGGCATCTGGAACCCCTGAACAAAGAATCACGTAACTTTAACACTAAGAGTTTTAAACGCTTCTTTGGGACATTATTATCATTCAACAATTCTTCCCTGCCACGTGCCATCAAGCTCTGGAATGACCTTCCCGAGGCTGTTGTTTCAGTTTCCGATCCAACACTTTTCGTTCAGAGTTAACCATATATATTTTAAATAATTAAAGTGTGTAAACAATGTTCTTTCCTTGCAAACTAGGCACTCTATCCATATTTTTCATTACTTGAGGTGGTAAAGAATGTGTTGTTTTGTTGTTGTCATTATGTGCTTTATGTCACCCAGCTGTGCAAATGTTTGGTTTACATTTATGCGCGTATTATTGTTTGTATGGAGTCCGCGAGCTCAATGCCTTTCCTTATCCACGTTAATCAGACTGTATAGTCCCCCGTCATGTGATGCCGACAGGCCTTTGAGGTATTATGAATAAATAAATAAATAGGCTCTAACATCATTATCAAGATAGACATAAACAATGGAATAATATAAAGTCCTATGCGTCACGCGCTGTCTTAAAAAACACACTTTTGTTGACTAATTTAGATTCCGTTTTTAGGTGTGTTTTTTTTTGTGAGAAGCGCGTTTCTTAATTTATACGTTTTGTGAACATATTCTAAACTCACTGGATTTTGTTGTTCTTGTGCTTAGAATAAACGCTAAAGCAATTAATCACCTAAATCAAGTATTTTACATGGAAATTACCTGAGTGAGAAAAAGTAGCAAGAACACGTAAATGTCAGCTTTTATTTTTTCGACAAATACAACATCCTGATGCCTCTAAGGTGTTTGAAAGACCCCCTCTTTAAAGGGTCACTGTACTCTGCAAAATATTTAGGAGTGTCTGGATCGGACACGTACGTCAAAAGTAAAGTTTTCGCAAACAATTTCTTTAGCTTAATATTTACGCTGTACGGAAAATCTTGAATTAGAAGAAAAAACGAAATTAACCCCTACATCTTGAAATTCAACCCAAAATCGAAGTTAGTCTTGGTTCCGTTCCTGAATTAAAACGAGCCTCTTGGCGTAAGTATTACGCTAAGCACCGGTTTTGTTTTCAGGATAGAGAGGTGACCTGCGGCCTAACTGCCTCTGCATGCGGAGGACAGCGGGGCAGCTGCTTGTAGAAATGCTTTCGCATACCTACACGCAGGCAGTCTTAAGTATCCTCAAGTAACTTTTTTAAAGGTTTTAACTCGTGATAAGTTGTGCATGAGACAAACACGCCTCCGACGTTGTATGCAGACTGTCTTTCGTACGATGTATTATCAGTGTGACCGAGGATGTCTCGCGATTGCAGAAACGCTCATTTCATGATGCATACGGTCATGCTTTCGGCAACGACAACTAGAAATTAAAGAACGCGTTATAGTATTTTAAGGGAAAGGGGGACGAGGGGTCAATGGACCACTTCCAAAAATCCCTGCATGCAACGCTGCGCGCGATGCATCATCGGATTGACCATCCATGGTGAGGACTGGCTCGGTTTCGATTTCGATTGCCCCATTGACGAAGTATAGTGCATCTCGGCACTGCACGACAATGAAGCCAGCGCTCGCGCGATGCACCCATTCATCTTCGTGAGAACCGCCGTTGAGACACGGATCTCCAGCGGCTGTGAGGAGCTCTCCCGGCTTAGCGGCGAGGTAGGCGGGACGAAAAAAAAATAATAAAACTTTTCAACCTGGAATATTCGAGAAAATATAGGTGAGACAAAACAAGAAAATGTGACAATCGTGCTTTTTTTTTTTTTTTTTTTGTAAACACCTTCCAGCGTTATAGAGAGATCAAAACGATGTTTTATTACCGCATACCAGAAGTGCCGGCATTCAAGATGGCTGCGCCCTTGTGAAAAAGGTGTATACCTTTCTGGCGGCCTGGCTATCCCCGGCGGCTCACGGCTGATTTAAGCCCATTAGGGAAAGGCTAAAACAGAAGTCCCCCCCCCCCCCCCCCCCCCCCGGCCCCGAAATCTTCCATTCTGCTGGGGCCTCCTCTCCCCCCTCCCCCTCATACAGCATTTTGTCATGGGCGGCCCCCATCCCTCGAAACAAAATCCTGGCTACCTGGTGAACGGGCATAACTTTCAGCAACACGTACCCCACTTACAGGCGGTATCAGTTCCTGTAAAAATAGGGGGCGTTGGCGCCCCTATTCTAAAACTCTGTTATCGCTCACTATTGAAATGACTTCTGTCTTTGGTGCGCTTGTGTGCAGATATTTAGTTTATATATGGGGAGGACAGAGTGCATAACGAAATTAAACTCCGAGCAGTGTCTTACTTCTGAAAATTTGAAATATTACAGGCATCAACTTTGATGAACATGGAAACAGGGGTTAAAAACTTTGAAAGGACTCTCCAAATATCACACACAAAGAAAATATATTTATAAAGTCCTGGAGCACTAGACGTATTCAGAAGCGTTTAAAAACAAAGAAACCTTTGATAACACGGAATATTTTACTAACCATAGACTGAGAACTCGAAACGTTTCATGAAAGAGAAACTTTTAGCAACCCGGAACTTTTTATGAAAGATAAACTCTAGCAACCCGGTACTTTTTATGAAAGATAAACTCTAGCAACCCGGAAGGTTCATCCGAGGTCCAAGTTTCACAACCCGGAACTTTAGACACATTCCCATATCTAGCCATACCGCAACCTAAGACCGAAGGAGAAATTCGAGGGACCCATTCGACACTGGCCAAGAAACGAAAGAGAAAAATAAATAAATAAAGTGACAGGGCGGGTAATATAAAGCTCTTCACCGTATAGCTCTACCCCAGACAAACGCCAGAGCGAAGTTAAACACGAACCCTATCACATAAACATCCGCTCCGTTGCGCCTCCCTTCAAGCACCGAGAGCAGAAGCTTCGACGAATTCACTGCGTCTCGAGATCGGAGTTCGGCGGCCTCCTCCACAACCCCACCGAACTGGCAGCATCCTCACAGTGCAGCATACAACCCGCCATGGTAGATGCACACGGCAGATTCTGCTTCTTGTTCTCCCTATTCGTCGTCTTGGCCAAGAGCGATGGCCTGGTGACTCTTGGACGCTTCGTTCAAGACCCGTTACCGGTGGAACCTTTCAACGTCACCACGACGTCTCCACGTCTAAACGTCTGCTTTTGGAACCTGCAGCTCCACGGACTGGCAAGAACACTGCTCTGGACAGCCGAGGCTAATCTGATCGAACTGCTAGTCAAAGTTGCTACAGTGACAGATATGGTCTCCCTTCAGGGAGAGTACAAGCTCGACGGTGGTTCGGCGCTTTTATCGTTTATATCGGTGGGGGGTGAGGGACAGTTCTGGATGAACGCGACAAACGTTTCGACTGTTGCAACGGCAACGTTTGAAGAAGGGCCGAATGGCAGACCTAGGGTTCGTGACGTGGACGTGAGGTTGGAACTTAGGAACATCAAGTTTCACATGGAGAATCTGATGGGTGGAGGCAGCCTGGCCAGGGTCGGCAATAGCATGCTGAACAAGATCAACGGGACTATATTCAAACTGGTTCAGTATCTGTTTCGATATTTTCTTTTCTTACGTTGTGGCATGTGAGGTTTTGTTTCGAAACGATAGTGCCGCCAGCCTGAGATAGCAAACGGGATATATTTGATTGGTTGGAGCAGGTTTTTACACTCGGTTACAAATTAATGTCTTAAACAACGGTATGCAAATAACTATTAGCAAATAAATGATACGCAGGATTAAGAACGAGATGTGACAGATACGGAGCAGAGCGCCTAGCATTCAGACGCTTTTCGCCGACGTGACTGTAAGGCTGTTTTGGGGCTTCCGAAACTGCCACACGCATGTCTCGTCCCAGTCTCTGCCATTAAAGCTTCGACTTGCAAGGTGCTAAACGACACTAGCGACAATTCTAACATTATTGTTCTGAATGCTACAAAAAAAAAATATATATTTCTCTAGTTTTTTTTCTACAGTTTGTACTCATTTTTGTCACTTTTCTTTTTGTTTATTTAGATAATTATTTTAATAGCCATCTGCGCGTTGCCATCTTCGCCTGCGGTGTCGTGCAACGTGTTTTAAGCATGCCCAGTAGCCCTGCATCTGTGGAATATCAGACTTCGCGCTTACGTTCAGACTCCACCGCACCATGACTCGGCATTTCTCGGCCTGGGCGATAAGCGCTGAAGGGCTGGAGCTCGCTCGAAGTCTAAAATCATATTAAAATAATTCGAAATCTTTCACTTACTTCTTTCTTTGGCGCAGGCGGAAGAGTCCCTGCACACCACAGTCCAAGAGAACATCCGCCAGCGGATCAATTCCGAACTCTCCAGAATCTCCGTGGAGCGATCGGAGAGCCTCGTCGACGGCCTCATCGCGCTGGTCGGCGAACAGATCAGGACCACGGGTGCCGACCCGTTCAAGATAGCGGACCAACACCACTCTTTCAAGCAGGACTTACTGTTTTTCACTGTCCACTCCGAAGCGCACCTAACGAGAGGCCGACTGCACGGCCTCTCAACAGTGCAACGCTCCGGAAACCTGATGGCCTACTACAAGGACCGTACAGTCACCATACACGCCGACTTAGAGTTCAGACAACTGTCCGGAACTTTCCGGTGGAGGGCGCGGGTCCAAGGCAGCAGATTCTCGGGAAGGGTGTCGTTGACCGTTAGTGGTGTTGCGCTCCATCTGCGGCTGACGCTACCCGTCGGGGACAACGTGACGGTGGCGGGGCCGCTTCATCTGGAAGAGTTGAAGTTGACGGACGTCGGTCAGGTCCGGTTGCATTTTCATGGTGCGGACAGCCTAGACTTTCTGTTGGAGGCGCTCACGAATCTGATCATCGATGAGATAAAGCAGGACCTTGCACATGTGGTGCTGGAGCTCCTTGAGGACTCGATTCGGCGTAAGATCGCCACTTTGCAGTTGTCTGAATTCGTGTAGAGCATCCCATATGAATCATGTTTACAATAGCCAAGTATCTGTAGAGTTTTCTTTTCATGTCCGTGCGCAGCGTTTTATCGTCCTATTAAATTTATGTTTTTTATTGCCTCCCTTTTTGGTGTCGTCACCTCTTTGTCTGACTTTACACCGGTCGTGGACCTGTTGCCTGTCCGAACCCAGTGTTGTAGCGCCCGTTTCATTTCGCGTAAATGAAACTGGAAGGGGAACTCGTTAACATGTTTACGGGAATAAAAAAAGAAACAGCCTTTCTTTTTTTTTCGTTCAGTGGAGTAATTGCTCTTTTATTTTTATAAGGGAAATCCTGAAAATTGTTGAAACAATATCTTTACGAAGAGTAGGATTTCGTTCATTTTTAATCACTTATTTTGGGGTTTATTTTCTGGGGTCCTCGCTCGGCAACAGTTGGGTGCAAGTGAGCTGGTGGACAATGATTCTTTCTTCAGTGCCCGAGACTGCGGCTCAAAAAACAAATCTTTTAGTCGAAGGGAAAGACACAGAAAGAGGGATGTTTCAAACTCAGCCACATTCTTTGCTCCCACGAATCCTCATACACCCAGAATTCTAAGGCTGGCTACAGCCATCACTGAACTTTCACAAAGAGACGTAGAACTACAACAAAAGACCAGGTTACCACTGCAAACATCGAACGCACCCTTGCATCCCGAACATGTGGTCACTCAAAAAATACACAAAAAGTACCCCTTATTCTTTTTTCTCTTCTACCCCACCTTCAGACGGAACTACGAATCCAAACTGCCCGAAAAAGGACTGGTAGTTTTCAAGACTGACCCTCCAAAAGCCCTACCGTCTTCTCCACTTGCTTGTCTTGCGGACAGCAACATCGAGAAGCAACTGCTGTACAGTTCCAACAAGGGACTTTGTTACATTGACACCTGTGAGGTTGTTGTGAAATGCTTGTGCAATGTGGGGTGACAGTACATTTGACCCGTCTGAAACGCCCACCACAAACATGAATATAGTTAAACGTTGAAATTTTAGAAGGTATTCACCTTGCCTCCGGTTGTTTTTGTGTCCGGGTATGCAATCACCACGGCGTTCAGATTCGTATGTTGCCATTTGATAGGATATATATATATATATATATTAAAAAAATGTTTGATCTAATTAAATATGGTAATTAGCAAAATACAAATGTAACACATATTTGTAACGATACGTTATATTTTTTTAACTCTAACGGGAACGAGTTCTTTTCTCAAAAATGAAACTTCTAACGGGGAATGCGTTCCGAAAATCAGAAAGAACGAAAAACGAGCTGTCGTTCGTACTTATAGCGCATCCTATCTTATTGTCAAAATTTTGTTTTGCAGCGTTATCCCAATTTTATTTCTTTTACCAATGTTCCCCCCATACCGTGACAGAAAGAAGCCTCAACACTCCCAAACGTCCAAGAGGTTCTGGGTTCGAATTCCTTCGTTAAATATTTGAAGAGTCCACGAGGGCATCGTGCCCGCGTTTTTTACTCTTTCGGGGCCTGTTTAAGCTTGCGTTGAAGCAGAATATTTAAATGGGTCACGAAACAAATTTTGGGCTGGGATAAATGATTTTAAATTGGGAGTTTCGTAATTGCTTATCGTTTAGTTGGCCAAGAGGAAGAAGGTAGAAATTCAAAAGCCAGCTTTTCGGAACGAACATTTGAAAATATAGCGGACCATTTCGCACCTCCTTTCCCTCGAAAGCTCCCCGCCTTTTCACTATGATACATCCGCGGTACTCAAAGCATGTCAGGGGTGCCAAAATGACGTCCGCCGAAGCCAGAGCACGCTTTGGGCACGAAAACTGCGTTACTTGGACGCATGCACTCGTCAACAATCAATCCGTCGACGAATATGTGGATTCGCGTACGTGGCCAATGAGTGCCCTGACGGAACGTATCGTGTCTTGCGAATGACAAGTTATGCTGCGTGCTTAAAAAGCACGGTGGAAGCTTGCAGCCATCGCACCGGTGCCCAAGCATGTCACGACGACGTGGTTTCTCAATTCGCCTTTGAGTTGAGGATTGAAGCTAAAAAGGAAGAAGTAGAAAAATCGTTTCATGGGCCCCTTTAAATCCGGTAGCATGTTTCCAAGCTACGCCCCCCCCCCCCCCCCACCCCTTTTCCCCGCTATATTTATATTTTTAGGTTACGGTTGTCGAAACGCAAGATCAAGCACGGATAAGTGGGACTACGAATCGCTCAGTGGATATGCCGCAGTCTCCGTAACGCCTCGCAAGAGTCAAGGGCGGACTGAAAAGGAGATGGGTGAACAGAAGCGCCACCTAGTTTGCGTCAGCATCGTCAGCAGACCGTCTCGCAAGAGACTCGCAACGAGCGCGACGCTAGCACGCGACAACGCCAACACCGAAGGCGTCTGCCTCTTTGTGGCGACCCTCGTCGAGTTCCAGCCTGTTTGCCGCTTGGTCCCGGGTCGGGGGTCCACTGGCGATGACGTCACGCGCAGGCCTTCTTTTCAGGGCGGCACCGGTACTGCGCGAACTTTCAAGCCGCAACCGGAATGCTCGTACACACAGACACACAAAAAAATAGTGTTTATTGCAGACATGATAAAATAATCATCTGAGGACACACCTCAAGAATGTTGGAAGCATGTATGGGTTCACACGTATGTATACACTTCGGACATCTCTGCGTACAGTATTTGTATGAGCAATGTGAGAGCACTCTCGTACAAGGGGAGAAACAGGCCTCATACACTGTCTACAGACAGTCGAGAGTTTTAGAGAACCATTTTTTTTCCTTATCCGATACGGTACGTTGGCCCCTCCGGTTTGAACTGCGCATGCGCGACCACAGAAGGCTCGCTTATATAATGCGCATTTATACCGGAGCTAGGGCTATCGTATCGTATCGGATATGCAAAAATGGTTCCCTAAAAGACTCGTCTTTTTGTATGACGTTTTAGCGGCGTGGACTGTGGCTTTATAATGTCGCGTGATTTCAGAAACGCTGATTTCATAAGGCATATGCGGTCATGCTTTTCGCTGACGGCGACAAGAAATTCCAGAAGACGTTATCTCTGGCGACAAGACGCAACTTGTCAAGTCGGTAAGCAAGCGTCGACAAGAGGAACGCTTGTTCTCGCTGTCTCTCTTTCGAAACAGCGAAAGATCCGCCGCATTTCCCAACACTGACTAAAAAAGAAAAGAATAAGAAAAACCCCATGGCGGCAGTTGCTCGGCCAAGAAAACTCTCGTAACTCAAACCCAAACAAACCATCAGAAAGAAAAAAAAAAAAAAAGAGAGAGATCCACGAGTTGGCCCCAGACCGGAGAGGAGCATCGGGACGTTCAAACATCCGCCCAGCTGCGTTTTTATTTTTCCCGCAACGACAGAGAGTAGAGCAGAGACTCCAGCGACGCGTCTGGAAACCGGAGATCGCCGGGCCCTGGGCTGCCTCCTCCTCCCGCAACACCTAAGCCGCCATGGCAGATGCACGTGGCAGATCTCGTTTTCTGTGCTTCCTGGTCAGCGCCTTCCTGGTCGCGCTAGCAAAGAGCGAAGGCCTGGTGAGTCTGGGACGATTTCTCCGAGACCCTTTACCGGTGGCACCTTTTAACGTGACCACAAGATCGACGCTCGCCACCATACGAGGCCGTTTCTGGAACCTTCGGCTCGTGGGACTTTCCGGGACTCGACTCCGCCAAGCCACGGCTAATCTGACCGGACAGATTGTCGAAGTGACCACGATCACGGACGTGGTCTCCCTTCAGGGAGAGTACAAGCTCAACGGTGAATTTGCGTTCTTGTCGTTGAGGGGCGAGGGCCAGTTCTGGATGAACGCAACGAACGCCGTGGCTTCTGCGAGGGCGGTGCTGGAAAAGGGTCCGGACGGTGGTCCGAGGGTACGCGACGTGGATGCCAAGCTGGACGTTGGGGACATCAAGCTGCACATGGAGAACCTGATGGGTGGAGGCGGCTGGTCCAGCTTCAGCAATTCTCTGTTAAACCAGATCAGCGGGACCGTCTTCAAACAGGTTCGGTATCTGCATTAACCAAATATATATGTTTTACTTTTTTTGCATGGCTTGAGGTGGTACGATACAATTTTGACCGTCGCGGACAAAATGAGAAGTCTAATTGGCTCGAAGTATAAATCTTTACTTTCCCCAACGTAATATGCAAAGCTGATCGAAACAAAATGGGGCGCAAAATTAAATGCATACTACCTGAACGCATCAATTCTGAGATTGTGCGATTTGTCATCACAACAGCATTAACATTTTAATGTTTTTTTTTTATACTTTACCTACCAACATTCATTGCAAAATATACTGGTGTTTTAGAAAGAACACGTTTCCCACTCCCTTCTCCATTCAAACTACGTGCACGACTTGTTCGGAAAAGGCATTAATCCCATTGAATTGTAAAGCAGTGATTTGTTTCTGTTAATTTCCCCGTCCGGTGTCTTTTTCCTGCACTTGATGAGTTTTTCCTAGAGGTAGCTCTTCAGAGCATCAGAGAACTCACGAACAATCTTCAATCCTCCCGCCTCTCCATTCGCCAATTCAAGTCTGACGTCACTTCGCTGCGGTGGTGCTGCTGTTCGCACTGCGCATGCCCAGACGCTTTACTTCTCGTGAATCTGGTGTCTGCGCGCGCGCAGTGCTTAGCCTTACACCTAATGGGGTGAAACACTGACTTGTTAGTAAGCAGCATGTTTTGTTTATGACTGCCGCAGGCATACCTCGGCAAACCTCACTCATGAGGGCCCTCACTCACCCTCATCTTCACAGGTGAGGTGAGGGTGAGTTTCTGAATCAGGAAAATTCATGAGTGTGAGAGTGAGTGAGGGCTGTGAGGGATGTGAGGACCGTGAGTGCGTGAGGGCCGGAGGGCGGTAGGGGCGTGAGGGGTGTGAGGGCCACGAGTGCGTGAGGCGCGTGAGGGCGGTGGGTGGCGTGAGGGCCGTGAGTGCGTGAGGGGTATGGGGGCCGTGAGGTCGGTGAGTGCGTGAGGGCGGTGAGGGTGCCAGTGGCATGAGTGCGTGAGGGGTGCGAGGGCCGTGAGGGCCGTGAGGGCGGTGAGTGCGTGAGCCCCTTCAGGCGGATCAATAACTTTCTCAGCAATTTTGGTTTTGCTGGCGGGTTGTTCCCTAGCTTTTTCTAGATCGACACGAATTGCTGAGATCGGGTCCGGCTCGAAACAAGCCAGCAACTCTGAGCAATTCGAAGACGTTTGAAGTGGCTGCATCCAATCAGGGACGCGATATTTTCACGTGATACCTCGTGCCGGTGATGATGACAACAAAAGACTTGGCTCTGGTTTGAAATTGATCGTTTTTGGAAATCAACTGTTTCAGAAAGAAGCATTAGTATTCTCAACGAGATTTAAATGCATAAAAACACGGTTATAGAGCGTAATTGTGTGTCTAAATAGTGCAAGAAAAATAAGATTTCATGATGATGATGGCAACTTGCAGCAATTGGTTGCTGCGTGTGAACGCGGGCGGCCAGTGTTGCTGGTGTTGCGACGTCAAGTTTTTGGGCAAAATTACCCCATTTGAAGCGGGCCTGAGTGGCTTTAGGGCCATGAGTGCGTGAGGGGTGTGGGGGTTATGAGTGCGTGAGGGCCGTGAGGGTGGTGAGTGCCTGAGGGGCGTGAGGGCTATGAGTGCGTGAGGGGCGTGAAGGCTATGAGTGCGTGAGGGCGGTGAGGGGCGTGAGGGCGGTGAGGGGCGTGAGGGGTACGAGTGGCGTGAGGGCGGTGAGGGGCGTGAGGGCCATGAGTGAGTGAGGTGCGTGAGGGTGGTGAGTGGCGTGAGGGCCATGAGTGCGTGAGTGGCGTGAGGGGTATGATTGCTTGAGGGCGGTGAGGGGCGTGAGGGCCATGAGTGAATGAGGGCGGTGAGTGGCGTGAGGGCCATGAGTGCGTGAGGGGTATGAGTGCTTAAGGGCCATGAGTAGTTGAGGGCGGTGAGTGCGTGAGGGGTGTGAGGGCCATGAGTGGCGTGAGGGCTGGGAGGTTCAGTGGGGGTGAGCGAAGGGCTGAAGGTGAGTGTGCATGACTGTGAGGATGAGGATGAGTTAGGAGCTTAAGGTGAGTGTAGTTGTGAGGGTGAGGGTAAGTGAGGGGCTTAGGTGAGTGTGGCTGTGAGGGTGAGGGTGAGTAGGGGCGACCTAAAATGCCGACCTCTGCCCGTAGGCACAAAAATCCTTGCGCAACGAGCTCCAAGGCAACATCCGCAAGCAGATGAACCACGAACTGTCCAGGATCCCCGTGAACCTCACCACACCCCGATCGGAGCGGCTCGTCGACGGCCTGATCGAGCGGGCCGGCGAACAGATCAGGGCCATCGGCGCCGATCCGTTCAGCGTACCGGACCAGAACCACTCTTTCCAACAGGACCTGCTCTTCCTCACCGCCCACGGAGAAGCTCATCTAACAGAAGGCCGGCTATACGGTCTCTCGTCCGTGAAACGCGCTGGAGACCTGTTGGCTCTGTACCAGGACCGTCGAGTGCTCTTCGAAGCCGACCTAGAGTTCGGCAACCTAACCGGCGCTTGGAAGTGGTGGGTGCAGTTCTTGGGTGCCGGACCGTCCGGTGAAGCGTCCCTGCTGGTCAAGGGTCTTGCGCTTCATCTGAGACTGTCGCTACCCGTCGGTGACGACGTGACGGTGGGGCCGCTTCAGCTGGAGGCGCTGGAATTGAGGGACGTTGGTCAGATTTGGTTGGATGTTCACGGCATGGGCAGTTTTGATTTTTTGGTCGAGGTGTTCGCGAATCTGGTGAGCAACGCCATGAAGTGGCAGATCGCCGAAGCAGTGCTGGTGCCGATTGCGGATGCTATCCGACATGAGATTTCCACTTTGCCTTTGCCTGAGTTTCTCTAGATCGTTGTCATTCTTTCTTCTTTTTTTTTTCACAATTTCTGGATACATTTAATGTTGGCTTCGGTGCTCGGTGTCAAAATACGTCGCCATGCCCTGTGTTAACAACATCGACACCCTACCAAAGCACGCCTCAGCGTGCTCTGCTCTGCAATAAAAAAAGTCGCAAGCATGGGTCGCTGAGTGCAGATCTATAGTTTCATGAAGCATATTATATTGTTTGTTAGTAATATGAATGATGTGTTATAACAAGAATGATGTGCTGGGCTCTTTCCGCAAATTCCTCACCTGATGACAAACAGTACAAATTTGCTGGGGGTGATGAATAAAGCGGATTTTCTAGTTGTAAAATATTCTCCGTTATTCTGAATGGATTACTGCTTAAGCTCCAATGTAATCCTCCCGGGGATCTGGTAATTTCGGTGTACGTTTCGGTGTGGGGCATTTCGGTGCGGTCTTTTTGGTGCACGGACTTTTCGGTGCACGGACATTTCGGTGCACGGACATTTCGGAGCATGGACATTTCGGTGCACGGACTTTTCGGTGTGCGGACATTTCGGTGCACGGACTCTTCGGTGCCCAAAAAATCAAAATCACGCGTTCTTGTTTTTCTTTTTTGTTTTGTCTAATCGTAATAACGCTATTCTAGCTAGAAATTTATTTTTTCGCACTTTATAAATTTGTAGACTTGGTCATCTATTTACGGTCACTTACTCATATACGAGCCAAGTGACTTTGTTAGGCGCAGCACCATCCTGCTGGAGGACTGGATACGTTGGATGTTATGTTTAATTTGACGGTGTCTCTTTTCCAACGTACGCACTAGACGCATCACATCGTGTTTGCGCGTTGGGTCAATACAGACATTATCGGCGCCTTCTGTAAAGGTTGTGGGAAAGTTGCCTTGCTGCGTGCCCAAACCGGCGAAACAACACGGAGCCAGGATTTCGGAAAACGTGAAACTACATTTATTAGTAAATTGTAAACATGAAGTTAGTAATAACAAGGTCGTTGGTTGACACCGCCGCAGCGTGTACCTTTCGCTCCAGGCCCCGCTTCTCGCTCCTCCGTTGGCGTCCCCGCTGTTGCTCTTATACGTTCTTTCACGGGGGGTAACGCCCCCCGCGCTTTCTACACAGTGGCGCCCCCTATAGCGTCCACACAATCCCCCCCTCAAAAGTCAGGCATGTCGATGACGTGCTCGTCGTGGTCGTTTGACCTCAGAAGTTGAGGACGTTGCCTTCGTACGACGTCGATGGCCCTCTGCAGCTCGTCGTGGTTCTGGAGCCTCGCAGCGCGGTCGGCAGCTTCCCGGGTCACGTGTAGGAGCCCCGCTCGGTGTGTTTCTCGAGCGAGCTCCGGGACTCCGCACAGCGGACAGAGGAGCCTCCGTTCCTCTGCGGTGTATTGCGCCGCTGGATCGTTGGGGTGGCGGTCCTCCAATGTCAGTCCCCTGAAAGGCTCGGGGACGATGACGTGCGCCTCCCCGCGTTCTGGGCGTGGTTGTTCTTCCCAGGCTTGCCGGGATGCCCAGCCGACCGGTCCACCGTCGGTCTGCACCATCCATGTTGTCACGGTGGCTTGTGGCCGTCGCCGGCAGCGGCGGCAGAGGATGTGGAAGTCCGCGTTGCCCTGATCCCGTCGTGATGGCCCCGGCCCCTGTCCTTGTGGCCTGGGTGACCGTGGTCGCCACCTCGAATGGGTCCCCCGGCCCTGGTGGCCGTGGTGGCTGATATGGCTGCGACGGCCGCGGTGATGAGATCGCCACCCTCTCTCCATCTTCATAAAAATAAGAAACAGCCCGATGAGCGCAACATTAGGCGTGCCGCGCGTGGCCCCTGAAAATAAAAGTCGATAAGTGCTCTCAGGTGGGATATACTGCCCCCCCCCCCCTCCCAACTCAAAAGGAGAACATATTGATGGGGTATGAACTGGAGAACGTTCAACATTTTAAGGGTGAAAAACAAATGTTTTTGTTAGTCGCTTCGTGATCTCCCTGTTAGCTGTTACCGACGTCGCAGATTGTACCGCCGGGGTGGCGGGGAGGGGGAATCAGGGACCCGACTGCTGCTGCCATCTGCTGGATCCTGCGAGAAATCTTCTTGGCTGTGGAATAACTTTAGGTCGGTAACATGAATGGGTCCTGTGGATTGACCACTGGAGCAGCAAATAAGTGTGTATGTGAGCGGGGACAGCTTTTTGCCAACACGGAATGGACCCTCCCACCTGTTTGCCAGTGAGGCCGTGAATCCCCTTGTTGCATCACTCAGGGGATGAGTGCGCCTGAGCACGAGGTCTCCCACCTCAAACTGCAGGTTTCGGCGTCCCTGGTTGTACTGCTCGGACTGCTGCAGTCTGGCGACGTCGAGGCTCTCCCGAGCTTCTCTGAGGTTGTCCGAGAAGCGCTTGCGGAGGTCGTCTGCAAACTTCGAGTAGCTGCGGTATTGCGACGTGAGTTCTGTTGAGCGAAGAGCGTTCGAAAGCGGGAAGGCAAGTTCTTTGCCAAAATTTAGCTGGGCAGGGCTGAGACCGGTCGACCGGTTAACCGTGGTGTGAGTGGCGAAGGCCATTTCTGGGAGCTTCGCGTCCCAGTCCTTGTGGCGATCGGTATGCGCAACGAGCATCATCTTAAGGTTCCGGTTCACCCTTTCAGTGATGTTTGCTTGCGGGTGATACGGTGATGTACGTTTATGCTCAATTCCCAGCACCGCACACGCATCCACGAACACCTTGCTAGTGAAATAAGAAGCGTTGTCGGAAATCAAACTCGTCGGGAATCCGAAGCGCGCGAATGTTTGCAGCAGACAATCCCAGATTTTCTGCGAGTCCAGTTTGCGCAAAGGGAACAGCTCAACCCATTTCGTGAAATGATCCGTTACCACGAACAAGTACTGATTTCCGCGAGGACTACGCGGGAATGGGCCCATGACGTCGCAACAACAGATCTGCCAAGGGCTCTGGCTTACGATCGGTTGCATGAGGCCTGGGGGTTGACCACCACGTGGCTTCGCTTTCTGGCATGAGGGGCAACTACGCGCATACCTTAGTACATCTTGCCGCATGCCGGGCCAGGTCACAATTTGGGACAACTTATCATACGTTTTGCTCCCACTACTGTGTCCGGCTAGTGCGGAGTTGTGCATGTATGTGATGAAAGACTTACGTAACTTTCTAGGTATCACAGTCCGGAACGCCGAGCCGCTCGGGTCGTCATCAGCTTGAGGGATGTAGCGCAACAGGAGCCCGTCGCTGCTCAACAAGTACGAGTCGAATTGCTCGTCACTCGCTCCATTAACCGTGCTCGTTATTGCCAGCCAGGCGGTCACCCGCTGACACAGCCCGTCGTCCTGCTGAGCCTTGAGAAGTTCCTCTCTTGTGATCAGTGCTCCCCACCGTGATTCAGGTGATTCCTGCGTTGTGATGGCGACAGCAACCAGGCCCGGACCTTCCTGCGTGTGCTCCTCAGGGAGGGGGGCGCGGGACAGAGCATCAGCAATTTTGTTTGTTGCACCAGGTCTGTACACGATAGTGTAGTCGTATCGCTGTAGCGTAAGCGCCCAACGAGCAAGCCGACCGGCAGGGTTCTGAAGCCTTTTCAGCCATGAAAGTGCTAAGTGATCACACTGAATTTGGAATGTTGCGCCGTCTAAGTACATGTCAAACCGCTTTAACGCATATACTATGGCCAAACATTCCCTTTCCGCCACACTGTAGTTCCGCTGGGCGGGAGTAAGTGTCTGACTTGCGAAGGCAACTGGCCGAAGCACACAGTCATGCTCCTGCAGCAGAACAGCACCCACGCCGATATCGCTTGCATCTGTCTGCAAAACGAAAGGTTGGTTTAAATCGGGAAGATGCAGACAAGCATTTTCAGTCACTGCCCCCGAGAGGGCAATGAATGCACTCTGTTGTTCAACGTTCCAGTGCCACTTGATGCCCTTTCGAAGGAGGTGATTGAGTGGCTGAGATATCTCGGAACAGTAGGGAATAAAATCCCTGTAAAATGCAATCATACCAAGATACCTCTGCAGGCTTTTCACGTCATGTGGGCACGGATACTCCGTTAGCGCGCGAACCTTCTCCTCGTTAGGACGGAGTGTGCCATTGTCAACCACGAAACCAAGAAGATTGATCTTTGGCGCGGCCAACTGCACCTTTCCCGGGTGAATTGTGAGACCCGCGCTACGCATTCGCTCGAGTATTATTCTCAAGTGCTCGACGTGTTCTTCGAACGTGCGCGAGAAGACAACTACGTCATCCATGTATGCCATTGCAAAGTTGTACTTTGCGTCGCCAAGTACAACGTCCATCAAACGTTGAAAACTCGCTGGCGAGTTTGACAAACCGAACGGCAAGCGGGTGAACTCGAATAACCCTCTGTGGCAGATGAACGCAGTTTTCTGCACGTCCAACGGGTGAATCTCGATCTGAAGGAACCCGCGGCTGCAATCGAGCGTTGTAAACACAGTCGCGTTACCGAGCGCGTACATTACAGAGGAAATACTAGGGAAAGGGTAACTGTCCCGTACAGACACGTCGTTAAGTCGTCTGTAGTCTACACAAAGCCTGGCGGTTCCATCCTTTTTTGGAGCAAGGACCACAGGAAACGCCCAAGGGCTCTTTGACTCACGTACTGCACCGGTGTCAATCATCTCCTCGAGTGCCGTGTCCAGGAGTTCCCTTTTGTGCACGCTGATGGGGCGCGGATTGCACCTCCAGGGCGGAGCGTCACCGGTTTCAATCCGATGCAGCAGGATGTCTGTCTTTCCTGGTCGCTCCGTGAACATCGGAGAGAACGGCCGCAGTGCGTCCTCCAGCTTAATCTTTTGAAGGTTATTGGCCGGGCACTTCTGTAGTGCAGCGTTAATGCCTGCAGGCAGGAAAGCTGGGGCCGCTGTGAAGTGGGTCGGGAGGGTTGGGCCGGTAATGCAGTCCTCTCGCCTGGTAAACGGAGTGAGCTCCGTTTGGCTTCCTAACCGGTAGCCTCCACCAGGGAAATCAAGCGTCATGTTCTCGCCTGCAATAAAATCTCGGCCCAAGATTACGGGTACGGCGAGCCCCGGTAGATAAAGAAAGCGCTGACGCCGTGTCTTTTCGTGGAACGAAATTTTGAGCCTAACGGCTCCACCCGCTGGTTTTGCGAAACCAGAAGCTAGCTGCAAAAGAGTGTCAGATGGACGGAGCGTTATTTTTTTAGATTTGCATAGCTCATGTGCGTCGTCACCAATAAGCGAGATAGCGGCCCCCGTATCCAAAAGCGCGGCAAAAGAAAAACCAAGCAAGGTAATCGTCATGCGCGGTTCGATTATTTTTGCGATAGGCTGCAATCGACATACGGATGGAGCAAGCGTAA